TGGAGTAATTTTTACATGTATGGCTTCCAGAGCTGTACATTTAGAGATAGCTGAAGACCTTTCTTGTAATGCATTCATGTTTGGTTGCCGTCGAGGATTTCCGACTGAAATTTATTCGGACAATGGCACAAATTTTAGAAAAGCAAACAAAGATATCATTGAAATAATTTCAAATTGGCCAAAGGATGAATTAAATCAATTTTTATACCCTGTACCCAAAGGGTACAAGGGTATATTAGTTTTGTGCGAGTGCACATGGAACACACAGAAGGAGGCTTGGTAGACCCCACAAAGTATATATATTCTTGATCAGCATGACAAGCCGAGTCGATATAGCGAAAGTATAACAGCTAGAATAACCAAACTTGGTTTACAGATTCTCCTGAGACCGAGAAAGGGCGAGTTTGTTCATTTTTCCTGTGTGGGGTGGTACAGGGTATTTAAGAGTTGAGCCTGCTCGACTTTAGCATTCCTTTCTTGTTTACCCAGAAAAACTGAAAGTCGTATTTTAACCCACTGTTAACACCCCACATGGGAGGAGCTTGGGAGAGGCTTTTTCGGATTGCTAAACAATATTTGTGTCATCTTTTGAAAGAGCGATTCCCAAAAGAATTCACTTTGAAAACTCTATTTTGCGAAATAGAATATATGATAAATTCTGGACAACTTATTTCGCCAGTAGAATCTCCTGATTTTGAGCCATTAACGCCGAACGATATTTTAATTGGTCCAAATTATAGAGATACGATGTATACAAATACAGAAAACTATGAATTAAAATTAGTAAATATGTGGCGCGCCTCGCAGAAACTTGCAGATTTATTTTGGAAAAAATGGCAAAAAGAATATAGACAATATATATTGTGCAACCATAAATGGATAAAAAATGAGGAAGCACTTAATATAGGCGACGTAGTTTTAGTAATGGATTCGGACCTTCCAAGAAACACTTGGCCAAAAGGCTTGGTAGTGAAATTATACGAAGCCAACGACGGTTATATTCGTGTTGTAGACGTTAAGATAAAATACAATATATATAAGAGATCCGTATGTAAACTTGCTAAGTTAGATGTTAAGAAAAACATTATGAAACAAAATTAAGAAAATAATGTAATAATTTGGGAGGAGTATGTTGAAAATGTTAAATTTGAATTTTAAAGAAGCACAAAGTTTATGTTTATCGATTTAATGTATCGAACTATTCAAAGAACATTTCATTTTTGATTTAGAAATTCAGTTCATTCCTTTTTTAGTTCGTTGTTCTTATTCTGATTCTTTGCGGCAAACACGCAAGATCGCTGTGCAAAAGCTAATTTAAAAATAGTTATATTTAAAAACTGCAAATAAAGTTAATCATTGAGTAATTAATTATTAGTGTTTCTATTGTGAACGTTGGTATTGTGATGTGACGAAAGAATTACAAAGGAGATTGTCACTTGTGCGCCCGAGTGCAACATGGTCCCTCAAGCCGGATCAATTGTTAAAGTGCAACAAAGGCAGTGTTCTATTTATAACCATATTTGACACATCATTTAAGAAAACAAGGTCTAGAAGTTTCATTAACGAGTTTAACACAGAATTAACTTGAAAAAGAGGTATATCAAGCATACCATCTAAAAATTGACAGGCAGAAGAAGGAGTTAGGAAATTTGAATTTTCTAATACTGACCACGAAACATCAGGTATGTTAAAATCACCAAAACGACCAAATAGTCTCTATCTTTAGGCATACTGGATATGCGTTGTATTGCAGAACAGTGAAGAAGGTAAGTTTCATTATCGGATGCAGGTGGGATATAAGAACAAGTGACAAATATAGAAAAACGCGCAAATACAAGCTTTACACATATAAACTCGATTAAAAACGGATTTTCAAAAGAGATAAATTCAGACGACAATAGAGAATCTACAGCGAGAGGAACACCACCACATTTGCGGTGTATACGGTCAAGTCTGAAAATATAATATTTTTGAATAAATATTTCAGAGTTTAATACTTTGGGTTTAAGGCACGTTTCAGTTAATATAATAACATTAGCAACGAATGATGTACTGTTTGAATAAAGCCTTTGATGTTTAGTAAGCAGTCCCCGTACATTTTGATAATGAAATATCAGGGAAGAGGAATGATTTAGTTTTTTGGTGAAGACGGTGCTATGGAAGAAGAATTATTATTTGCATTAATGCGTTTACGGGTAAATTTGTGAGCAACTACATGTTTTGGCCAGAAAGTAGGGTCAACGATTTTATTAAATAAATTCTCAGGAACAGCAATTTTGAAAGACGAAATGTCGCGCTTATACTTAAACTGGAATTTCGAAACCAAAACATCATCAGCTAAGCAAGAAGGTACATTTTGGCAAATGTACAGCTTGATGGCATCCTCTGAAACATCGTGCCTTAGCCGGGATACAAAAATCGACTGACGTGGCGGGACACCAACTAAGGCCCGAGTGGTGCCAGGATCATGCTGGGCAGAAGAAGAAGTAGAAGTCGGGCGTCTTGGAGCAGCAGCGATGGTGGGTACAGCAGAACAGGCAGCAGTAACAGGAATATCCGCAATAGCAGCAGCAATCACGTCGGTAGTAGCATTAGCAATTGATATGGCTGAAGAAACACCCGGAACAAGCACTTCACTATTCATAGGGGCAGCAAGTGAACGGGAAGATGAAGCGCTCTCACCAAGTGAGACCGCGGCAGGTGGTGCAAATGCTTCAAGGATAGGATTAGGGTAAGCCGGTGTAGAAGGTGAAGCACAATTTGTGTTGTTATCCGGGATCGTAAGTATGTTAGGCTGGGATATAGATATAAGAAACGTCGTTTCCAGCGCTACAAATTTTTCGTGGAAAACTTGAAACTCGGCACGAAGTTCTTTTATGCGTCTGCTTCATAAACTGACGCATTTCGGTAGCAATACTACGACATCTTTCACAAAACCAGATTAAGCCGTTGTTTTTGCCTAAGTCAGTTACCCGGCCAACGAACCCGGCACATTTCGCGTGACCAGCGTCGTCGCACAACCAGCATTGCACTGTAGGGTCCATTGAACCAAGCTTATGGCCAAACTCGCAGGACTTAAAACAGCAAGAAAACATTATGGTCCGTTTTAGTTAGAGCCTAAAAGTATGCTATGAAAAAAAAAACAATGTTTGTTGAATGGCACTAGGAATAGCACAAACACACGAATTACAAGTGTTGATTTTTTGTCATTAATATATTTTTCTGTATATGTACATTCCTTCTTAGAGGTCACCTTAAGACTAACTTAAGCCTAATGACTTAAAATATGATAAAGCATCGCTCTCCAAAAAAGCTCCATGACCTTTAATGACTTTGGCTCATCTTGTAACGCTGCAGTTCCAAAAAGCTTGATGGCGTGATCTTTGCTGACGTAATTTCAAGAGTTGGTATACATAGCTTCGATAACATTATGATAATATAATGTTATTACATATGTTATTGTTATGCTTCTGTTAAGCTGCTGATTATGTTACTCCTCCCCTCTTTAAGAATGCTGCTGTCCACAGAAGCCGATATTTTATAAATTTACATACTTGTTATGGTGGTGGCTAAGTTGAGGGTTAACAATTTGGGTTATTACATTCTGTTAATTTAACAAATTTCGTGATTTTATGATTTTGGTAATAACAATCATTTACATTTGAAGGTGTGATTTTTCTTTTTTTTTATCTTCTAGGCACAAATTAGATGATAATTTTTTTTCTGTTTAGTTTTTTGTTTACATAACTCTCTCTCTTTTCTTGATTTACAGCGTAATTTTTTTAACAATTCAATGAACTTAAATTTTTTGTTTGTTTTCTAAATTGTGTTTGGATAATTCATATTGTTTGTGGTTTGCTAAATCTATGACTTTCTTTTGTTTTGCTTTTTACAATTCATTTAGTTGTTTTCTTGAAGTCTATAATTTCCTTTTTATGTTTTCATAACTTCTTTTATCTAAAAGTCTCTTAGTTTCTTAAAGTCTATGCTTTTCTTTTTGAGTTTATACAATTCATTATGTAAGTTTCTTAAAGTCTATGATTTTCTTCTTGACAATTTATATAGATTTATTATTTTTCTAGTTTTTTATAGCCTGTACCCAAAGGGTGAAAGGCTATACTAGTTTTGTGCGCATGTATGTAACACACAGAAGGAGGCGTGGCAGACCCCACAAAGTATATATATTCTTGATCAGGATGAGAAGACGAGTCGATATAGCCATGTCCGTCTGTCCGTCTGTCCGTCTGACCGTCTGTCTGTATGAGCGCAAGGATCTCAGTAAGTACAAGAGCTAGGATAACCAAAATTGGTATCAAGGTTCCTATAAGCCCTAGGCAGAACGAGTTTGTTTATTTTTTCTGATACACCCCCCCACTCCCCCGCAATTCGTATTTTTTCTTATAACTTCCGTAATTCTCGGAATTTAAAAATCAATTTTGGTAGGTACATCCAGTTAGTACTAATGTGTCCGTGTGCCAAATTTCATCATGATAGGTCAATTCTGAAGAAAGTTATACCCATAAGTAAAACCGCTGCTCATGCGCTGCCTGCAGCTCTGTCGGCAGCGCTGCCCGCAGCTGTTGTTGTTGTTGCTGCTTTTGTTCAACTTTGTGCTGCATACATACACGCATATGAACACGCATAGGTACGTGATGTAAATGTATGCTGTTTAAACTGAACATAAACATGTATTCTAATTTAATTAAATTAATTATTTTAATTAATTAATTCATTCATTTTTTTAATAATTTAATTTTTTTTTAATTTTTCCTTTTTGTGGAGAGTACAGGCTATTTTACTGTCGGGCTTGCTCGACTGTAGCGTTCTATCTTGTTTTTTTTTCATTAGTAATCCAAGATTGTGTATGTCAAAAGAACAGATTTATTAGAGTTTATTTTGCATTAAAATTTTTGAATGGGTAAATTACTGCAAAAAACTGAGGTTTTATTTTCCAAGACTTATTTTTTTCTAAGCTTGCATAGAGGTTCGTTTTATGGTTAGCAGCTTTGGGCTTAAAATTGATGATCTTGCTAGTTGTTTTTACGGTTTTATCTATTTAATTGAATTTGTAAATTAGAAAGTTGTGTTATGCTTATACCCTTCAGATATATTTTTACCTTCATTTTTCTGAGTTGGCCTCATTTATATTTATATTCGTGCCATCAGTGGTAGGGATATCATCATTGGGCTCAGCATTTTGCTCCCTATATTTTGAATTGTGTATAATTTTCTTCCTCATATGTTTTATATTTTCTATATTCTTTGCCTCGAACATTTTCTGTAAAGTGTTTATACGAATCTTTATTGACGTTCTTAGTGAATCTAAAAGTATTACGTGATTTAGGGGGTCTCTTGTCTATTACAAAGCGGGGATCTCTTTCATATTCTTTTCTCCCATTATTTATTTTTAAAATTTTGTGTTCCTTACTTTGTAGTACATTATGAATTATATCTGTATTGTATAAAAATATTTCTGCTGGGGTTCTGCCTGTAGTACTATGTATTATTTTATGATTATATGCATAAAGTGTTTCTTCTACATCCATGAGTCGCTTCTCTGTTTCATTTTCTGTACATATAATTCTGAGTTTATCATTAAGAGTCTTGTGTAATCGTTCAATGTCTTCTATACCTGTTTTAGTACTTGTTATTTCTACTATTATGTCCTCTGATTCCAACCATTGTTTTATACATTTATTTGTCATGCCGGGGTCTTGAGTCATCTTAAGTACTTTAGGTTTTCCTATAGTTGTAAATATGTGAAATAATGCCCTCTTCGTTTCTACCCAATCCGTTATATTTGTTTTAATAGCTTGTGCAAATTTTGATTTTATATCGATACATGTTAAATATGATCGCTGCTCGAAAAAATAATAATCTATAACGTACTTGTCTCTTATTTCTCTTGGTTCTGGCGTTATTTGAAATGGCTCCTTAGTTTTTCTATGATCATTTTTACAAAGATTACATGTCTTACAGGAGTTTATTATATTTTGTATTAATTTAGCCGCATCGGGGTAGTAGTACTTCGTTTTAAATTCTGCTAAAGTTTTGTCTATGCCTTGATGAATACCGTCTTCATTCTAATACTTTCTCTTTAAAATCAGCATATGTATAGATATTGTCTAGTTTTATAATTGCGCGCAATATTCGTGTACCGGTATTTGGTCTTATTAATATTTCGTATACGCTTTGTATTTTCATAAAATCTGAATCGCTTGATATATAAAGGGCGGAAGTGCGTCCGCAAAAATATTTAATTAATAAATCGTTTGTTTTGCGAAGTGTTAAAGGTGTATAGGTTATTGTTGTAATTGTTTTTTGAAAATATCTCTGAATTGTACATGACTGCTCATTCCCTGGAATCATAATAACTTGATTACGAAATAAATTTAATGGTCGTTCTGAAATTTCTATCGAGTTTGTATTATCTTCATTCGCACTGTGTATTGTTGCTACATTTGACTGCACTTCATCTGACTGTTCAGCTGACTGCTCATTGGAATAATTTTCTTGCGTGTCAATTTTTGTTCTTGATAGTGCGTCTGCCACATGGTTTTCTTTCCCTTGTATATGTTGTATGTCAAAGTCGATTTCATTTAACTTAATTTTCCATCTTTGAAGTCTCATATTTGGTTCTTTTATATTATGAAGCCATGCTAAAGGTTTATGATCTGAATTAATTTTAAATTTACGCCCATATAAATATGGTCTAAAATATTTCGTTGCCCAGACTACTGCTAGTAATTCTTTCTCAATTGTAAAATAATTACATTCGTGTTCGTTTAGTGTTCTGCTTGCAATGATATTGGCTTATTTTCCTGAGACAATACTGCACCTATGGCAAAGCTACTTGCGTCTGTTGTTAGTGTAAAAGCCTTCTTATAATCTGGATATATTAGTATTGGATCTGACGATATCAAAAGTTTCAACTTTTCAAATGCATTTTTATAATCTTGATCATTGAGATTTAGCTTATTACCTTTTTTTAAATATTTTGTCATTAACTTCGCTATTTTTGCAAAATCTTTTATAAATTTTCTATAAAATCCACAAAGTTCAAGAAATGATTTAATTTCTTTCTCTGTTGTGGGTATTGGAAAGTGTTTAATTGTTTTTATTTTTATTGGATTAGCGTGAATGCCATTAGGAGTAACTATATGCCCTAAAAATTCAGTTTCATGTTTAAAAAATTCGCATTTATCCAATTGTAATTTTAGATTAGCTTGAAAATTAAGTGCTCTTGTAATGAAGTTGAAAAGATAATTATATCATCCAAATAAACTAAACAGTGCTTGCCAATTAAATTATTTAATACGTCATTCATGCATCTTTGAAAAGTAGTTGGCGCATTTTTTAAGCCAAAGGGCATTCTTGTGTACTCATAATGCCATTTCTATTTGATGGAAACCTTTTGCCAAGACGAGGGTTGTAAAATACTGACATTTTCCTAACTTGTCTAATATTTCATCTATATTTGGTAAGGGATATTTGTCATCAATTGTTTTGTTATTTAAGTTTCTATAATAAATCAATAGTCTTAGTTGTGTCGTTAAGTCTTCTGAGTCAACAATTTTAATTGTTGTTAATACCCATCATTGTTTGTAGATTTATTGGTTTGACTTGCGTTTCAATTATTTCTGGCCATATGTTTGTATTTATTAAACTTATGGACGAACCTGTGTCTATCAAGCATTTTAGTTCTGTATTATTCAAATTGTATTTTATTGTGCTATCTAATTTAAGGTGTTTTGTCCCGAGGCTATCACTTGAAAATTTTCGGACGTGTCCATGGGTTCGTGGAGCCTCACTTGTCCTGATTCTGCTTCTCTAAAGCGTTTTGCTGGTTGATTACTAATTTGTGGCTGCTGTGTGTTTTGAGTGAAATTATTTAAACTGCCATTTGGTTGGAAAAATCTATTGTTATATTGGTGCCTGTTTTGATTAAAATTATTGCTATTTGGTTGGGAAAATCTGTTATTGTCAAAGTGCTGTTGCCTGTTTTGATTAAAATTATTAAAGTTACTATTCGGTTGGGAAAATCTATTATTATCAAAGTATTGCTGCCTGGTGTAGCTACGAAATGGGTTATTAATTTGATGTGCTTGCCTTGGCTGAACCAAAAAACCTCTATGATTACGGGAACCGTTATTATTTGGATAAAACCACTGTCCTTCGTTTTTATTTACATTATAATTGCGAGAGCGGGTATTACTTGTATCTGGTATTATGCAATTCAATTTATCTTCATTAAATTTTAAATTGGGCTTGAAATTTGAATGAAATGTATTTTGATAGATATTATTGCATTCATATAAACCGTTCTCTTGAGCAGCTTGTTTTAATTTTGTTGGATTACTAATGTCAAATCTACATAATGTGTTATATATGTCTGGTAATTCTTTTTGTATAATTTGTTGAACTGCTGTGTTTAAAGCATTTGTGTAAATTCTTTGATTTTCTCGATTGCCTTCTAATGTTAACTTGTTATGTATAATACTGCTGTGATTTTCTAAATCGTTGATAAATTTACTTAAGGTACTAAATTTTAATTTAAATATATTCATAATGAGCTGATGCGCTGGGGTATGATTATTATATTCGCTTACTAGCATCCCACGTAGTTCCATCCAGTTTTGTGGCGATGTCCGCATAAGCAATCGTTGGGCTGGTCCCTCTATGAGATTTTCCACTGTGTTGTATATAATGTACTGCTGCTGTTCATCCTGTGTAGGGTAAAGAGCGATCTGTGCCTCCACTCGCTTGATGAACAGGGCCAGGTATCGTGGATCGTCGTTGAATGGTGTGATTTGCCTTAGTTGTGAGAGGCACTGTCCAAGTACAGCCTCCGTCAAGGCAATGCGTTGCACTGCTCCAATAGCTCCGTTGTTGTTGTTAGCCATTATAATTATGCCTTTATAATGATGCCTTTATGATTATGCCTTTATACTCGTATACGAGTTGTCCGAGTTTGCGGGAAATTTGGATTAGTTTTTATTTGCAAAAAGTTGATTATGCAAATTTTACTAACCGCTGCAGAAACCGTGCAGAATAGGTTTCTTTTTGCGAATCGTCGTTTCGAAGAAGGTGGTCCTTGTCTCGTTTTATTTGCACTAAGACGATTGGTCAAGGATACACGTAGGATAAAGGAAACGTTTCACCTTTTACGACGATCCTACCGACTGCGCCAATTACAAGTGTTGATTTTTTGTCATTAATATATTTTTCTGTATATGTACATTCCTTCTTAGAGGTCACCTTAAGACTAAATTAAGCCTAATTACTTAAAATATGATAAAGCCTCGCTCTCCAAAAAAGCTCCATGACTTTGGCTCATCTTGTAATGCTGTAATGCCACGCAAGCCAGCCAGACGAATTATCGATATTCAAGTCGCGTACATTCTTAGTAACGGCTAGCATCGTTGGTGACATCGGTCTGTAGTTCCAACGATGCCCGACAGGTGCGCGAGTGGGTCGCCACAGTACTCCCTCTCCATTGACGACGTCACGATTGTGTAAAACGCACCCGAAATTTCTTTTCGTAGGTGCGAAAAGTGGAGTTGCGCTGTTGTTGCTGTTCGATAGAATTATCATCATTCAAGAGAAAAGCAGGTTTCAGACGATCCACTGATACTGCAAATTCCTTGATCCGCAGGATGTATACTCTGTCAGTTTCACGTTTTATAACTGCATACAGACCTGTATACGGTGGCTCAAGAGGCTGCTTTACGGCGTCAGTGCGGATGAAAACGTGAGAGCACTGGTCGATGCCCTTCATTAGAAACATTTTTGGTTTGGTGTGGTGAGCTGTTTGCAGTGGTCGTATTTGACGAACGTGCTCACGAAGTTTTAGCAAAAATGCAGCAGGCGTTACATTGGAGTCGAGATCATCGAAAAATTCATTCGGCAGACGAAGTGGTACTCCATAGAGCATTTCCGCCGCAGAAGCTTGCAGATCTTGTTTATAGTAAGTGCGAAGTCCGAGCATTACCGATGGTAGTAGTTGTGGCCACGGGGAACCGGCGTTGCACATCAATGCTGACTTAAATGATCGGTGCTATCTTTCAATTAATCCATTCGATTGTGGATGATACGTGGTTGTATGTACCAACCAACAAGTTGAACTAGCTCTTTGAAAATGGCAGACTCAAATTGCATGCCTTGATCGGTCGTAATTGTGTTCGGTGTACCAAACCGTGATATCCAACAGGACCAAAACGCAGAAACTATCGTTTCAGCAGTGATGTCGCTCAATGGAATGGCTTCAGGCCAGCGAGAGAAGCGGTCAATCATTGTTAAGCAGTAACGATATCCTTGCTGCAATGGCATAACCACAATATCCATGTGCACATGGTCGAACCTTCCAGCAGGAACGCCGATTTTTTGGGGAACAAGATGATTGTGTTTGTGTATTTTTGCAGGTTGACATGCCAAACAGTTTCTGCACCAACTAGAGATTTGCTGATTCATGGATGGCCATTCGTATTTTTGTCGAATTTGTTGAAGTGTTGCTCTACCACTTGGGTGCGACAAGTTGTGAACCGATGCGAAAACGTGCCGTCGAAGCGTTTCTGGCACATATGGTCGAACATTCCCAGTTGAGACATCGGAGTAGATTGAAGTATTGTCGTCATAGCGTACACGTTGGAGCTTGAGAGATGAATTGCCTTGTAATAGTTCAACCAGTTCCGGGTCTGCTCCTTG